TCACCATCACCATCACCATCGCCATCACAATCACCATCACCATCACTATCATCATCACCATCATCATCATCATCACCATCACTACCATCACCACTATCACCATCACCATCATTATCATCGTCACCATCACCATCATCATCATCATCACTAATACCACCATCATTATCACCATAACCATCATCATCACCACCACCACACCACTATCATCATCATCACCACCACCACCACAATCATCATCATCACCATCACACCACCACCATCATCATCACCATCACCATCAAAATCACCACCATCAACACCACTATCATCACAACACCATCACCATCACCATCATCACCATCACCATCACCGTCACCATCACCACCAACACCATCATCACCATCACCATAACCATCACCATCATCATCACTATCATCATCACCATCACTAGCATCACAACTATCATATATTTTTATGATGTTTATAAGAATTATTATTATTATTATTATTATTATTATTATTATTATTATCATTATTAGTATGATTGTTAATTGTTCGTGTCTTAAATATGTAAGAAAAATTATCAAAAAAAAGTTAATAATTGAATAATGAAAAATAATAAAAATGGGAGTAATAATAATAATAATAATGGAAATTATAATAATAATAATAATAATAATAATAATAATAATAATAATAATAATAATAATAATAAGTGGATCAAGCATCTAATGCATTCTCTCTTATCCAAACTTAATTAGTTTTGTCGTTAAAAACCATCTTCCAAAGATAAAGGAGACTCTAACTCTATAAGAACATATGATTGCCTTAGTTACATCTTTCCAAAAATATCATAAATAATAATAATAATAATAATAATAATAATAATAATAATAATAATAAACTAAAGGAAAATTAGTTATTGTAAAAGAATGATTAAGGGGCCTTATTATTTAGATGTGGCATGCCCGGCCGGATGGTAAAGCATTTGATAATATGTGCAGCAAACCCGAGTTCGAATCCTCCCCACCCTTTTTTGAGTCCCTTCTTTTGTCCCGTATAATAAAAGGCTCCTCTAGGGAAAGAACACGATTTTACAGTCCTCAACGACTTCTCCTCCTTTCTTCTCCCTTCTCAGCCGTCTCCCCCGTTTTTTCCACTTGTCAAACCGATGCTCCGGCCACTGCTCGTAAAACGATTGCTCCGACGATTTGCTACTCGGTTTATTCTCCAACAAAGCTAAAAAACTCCACCGCTATCTCCATTTTCCGGTCGATTTGCTGCCTCCATCTCCGAAGAACATGTCGATTTGCTGCTCGTTTTTTTCTCCAACAAAGCTAAAAACCTCCTGCCTTCAGTTTTTGATATCCCGCCATCTAGAATCAATCGTCGACCCTACAAAGGTATAATTTCAACCAAAACTCTTCTTGTATGTGTATCAAGTTTTGGAATCGATCTAGATGACTGATTCATCCTTTGTGTTGGTTTAATTTATGATATTTTTTGATTTAGGGTTCATTATTGGCTTAATGATTGTTGGTCGTTTCTTCATGAGTTCTGATTTAGCGTTACCGACTTTATTACTTGATCGATATTCTAGTTTTAGGGCAATTAAGAAGAGGCATGTGTGTCAAACTCTTCAGACATTTGGGTATACTCGAGAATTTGAGAATTGATAGTTTAAATATTTTCATTGTTTTCTCATATTACATATATGTGAAATCAATTATTCGTTGCTTTAACTTGGAATAACAACAAGAATTTGCATAGAAAGTTTTTGCCCACATTTAGGATGATTGATAGGGAAACAGATGAAGCAGACGGTTTTACCCTTGGCCCTGTTTTTTCAGTCGTTCATCAAATAAGGGGCACGTAATTTCATATTCATCTCTAGACCTCATTATCATAATTAATCAAAAAGGCTTTTGGTTCCTTTCTAGTCATCTCTTGAATGCAAATTGAGGCTTGAGACTATCATGAAACTTAAAGCCTTATTTTGTTGGTTGTGTAAGCATAAGTACTATGTATTTTATGAGCTAGACCCGGGCTCTAATCTCCTTAAATGTCCCACTTTTTTATTAGAAACCGTGTTCTTTTAAGCCTGAAAGTACCCGGTTTTAGAACCGGGTTTTATTTCGTTTTTCACATAAGACTCGTTGGTCATAAGACCCGGTTGAAAACCAGGTTTTTTAATTGATTTAATCGGGTTTCATGTGTCTTTTTGTAGTAGTGAACATTTGGTAATTTCCAAAGGCTTAAGAGTTTAAATTTTCTTATTCATGATGACTTTCACCCTTTGTAAGCTGTTTAATGTAATAAATAATGTAACTGTTTGTTTCAAAGAATCTTTTGTCTATATCTTTAGGATTTAAAAGTTCTTGGAAAGAAACAAAAAGTTTAAGAGTTTTTTTTTTCCTGTGTGCTCCAGTGGCGTAATATGGTGTGCAGGGCATAATATGGATCGAACCTCCTCTTTACAAATACTTTCGATTTTCAAAAAAATACAAGTTCAAAAGGTATTATGTATGTTTGGTAGTCTTGGAAGGAAATGTGTTTTTATTTCTGAGCTAGTTAAATGAAAGATATACAGGCTTATTATAACATCCTACTTTCATTTTTTCTTACTTATAGTGTTGCACTTTCAAAAAATTTCCCAATTATGGATATAATAAACAAATAAATGAAAGTATATTACTATATTTGTATTTTTTTTGTGACCATTGATTATGGTGTGCTATAACAGGAACATTTGGTGGCCTTTGATTCAAAACTCAAATTGAAGAGCACTTGTCAGCCTTTATTGATTCAACTTACCTGATAATTTGCCAAGTAATCCATCAAAATAATTTCAATTTTATTTTGTAAGCACCTATTTAAACATTTGTAGTTGACACTTATTATGTGTATCATTAGACAATGTTAATTAGTAATATGTATTTGTATTTGATACTTTTTTAGGTTTATTAGTTTTATTATAATGATATTTGTTTTGTAGTTGAATTTCAATATTATTTTATGTTTAATGTAATGGGTTTTTTTCAATATTTTGGACAGAAAAAACTGGATTTCTTTATAATATTTTACTATCTTTTTTAAATAAAAAGTAATTTCCCGGTTTTATTGACAAAACTTGAGGCCCACCTCTCTCTCTCTCTCTCTCTCTCTCTCTCTCTCTCTCTCTCTTTCTTATCGTGTTTCTTTTCTTTTTATCCAAAAGAACATTTCATCTTCTTCATCTCTTAATCAAAATTCCACATCCGATCATGAACAAACATACACTCTTGCACACCTACTCTCGCTCTCTCCATATTTTTTGGTTATCCAAAACGCAGTGCTCAACAAACACTCAAAAGAAAACCCATAAATCCAATTTTATAATCGATTTATGTAAGTGTATATGTAGGTTTTGTGTCTGGAAATCGATTTCTATATGTTCATCCCCAAATATCGATTTTTATGTGTATGTTTTTGTTTCTAAAAACGATATGTGTATGTGTTTATGAATCTGAAAATGTTTCAAAAAGTTACATGTGTGTGTGAATTAGAAATTGCTCCTTCTTCCTCTGGTCACTCACTGATCCTTGCTCATCCTTTGGTATCATGTGATTTGTATGTGTTCATAATGTTCTTTTGCAAAATAAAATCAAGATTTAGAGAGAAGGCAGAGAGGCACTGTTTACGTGAATAAGAAAGAGGAAAGAACGGTGGGTGGCTGTCGATATCAGAGCTCTAAGAAATTGGAGCATCAAGATTAAAGAAATTACTCTGTTCTTATATATGGGCTAGCAAACATGCACATAAGATTGGATGTAATTGTGGATATAACTTCAAGCAACGTGTTACTCAATGAACATAGAAACCCCAACAATGCTAGATGTAGGTTATCAAGATTGTTGACAAACATAACCAATCTTCATGCCGAAGAAGATGATCGGGTGCGACTAGATAAGTAGAAGCAGTCATGTGGCTATTAGATGGTCGGTGAGGTTCACCGGAGACGACAAACGGTGGTCAGTGATTAAACAAAAACTCAATCCCCTTTATTTGTTGATATGATACTAGTTACAGCAGGAGTACAAGACCTCTATTTGTAGGTGGGTTTCAGGGACACAGAATTATAGAGAGAGAGAGAGAGAGAGAGAGAGAGTATGGGAAAATTCAAAGTCAATATAAGAAAATTGGTCAACAAATATCATTGTGTCAAAGAAGTAATCGGCTGACCCTTCACTTTGGCCAAAAGGAGGTAATCGACCCGACAAAAACACCTTTGTGCCCTCACAAGGCCACAAAAATTGTTTAGGGTCTAAAAGGATAAACCCTACAAAGTTCGTATGGCATTTGTGTCATTTTTCCTTTTTTTTTTTAACATTAAGTAGTTTCTATTTAATTGTTTATTTGTTGTGGTAAATTTGATTGAAGACACTTTCTCTATGGTCAACACCGACAATAGAACTCTTCTCAACATTGTTCAATATTATAGTACGAATAAACTTCACTTACATGTCATCACTGCAATATCATATAAAGAGGTTTTGATATTTTCATTTTTGGTAATAGATTTTAAAACCTCAAGATAATAAATAAGACCAATAGACAAGGTAGGATGTTAATCATGCGATAACATTTATCCTATGTATTGTCGGATGAGAGTTTCAAAGGACTTGAAGATAAAGTAGTATGCTCTCTCAGTTGGATGAAAAGAATCCCAGAAAATGTACTTTGAGACATTAGTGCACAATGGAGATTTTTGATTACACATGAAGTCAGCTTCTATTAGTCCACTCCCACAACAACCTCTATGGACTTCTTCAAAACCTTTTAGGTAGAAATGGAGACGGTGTTAATCAAACAAAAAAAAACATGATCAATAATTATACCCAGAAAATCCAAAACTATGTTATGTATCAGGTAATTGTAATATTAATGGTTAAGAAAAATGGTTTGAATTGCATACTGGGTAGTGGGAACATGCGCCTTGTTTTCCACTAGAAATTTCTTAAAGCAAAATGATCATTATATATTCAGTTATATATGTAATAGTAATCTCCAATCATATACATACCAATTTGATGGTTTCTTGTAACCATATCCATGATGGGCTTGTATATATCAGCATAAATAATCCTCGTATTCCATCTTTGAAGACCCTTTAAGTTATTTTCCAAAAGTTTATTATAATCTCTTGAAACAGAATTAAAACGTTCAATGCATTTACGGCTATGAATAGGGTCCTTGGAGTTAGCGGTAATGATAGCAGGTAAACATCCAATTGGAGGCGCATTCACCACCCCTATTTTCTTTGCACCCTCATCCATCAAGCCCTGTCACCCAAAATAACAAGAATGATCAGCTTTTAGGGTGTCTATCTCTTATTACAAATTACGTATTAGACCCGATAAAACCAACTTTGATCCCTTTGTTCCTTTAAAAGACATAGAAATAATACTAGAGACCGAATGAGTCAATCCAAAAAGTTTTGTGGGTTATGTGTATCATTTTCCCTATGTTTTAATTTACATTTTGGTACGAAAAATAAAGTGTTTTTTTCTTTATTAACCCAAAGACGAATAGCGTAAGAAGGGAAAGCAAAACATAAACATATTTTTCCGACGAGGTTTTTTACGTGTTGGCAACATCCAACTGCCAATAGAAATAGTCTATCAAAATAATATAAATATGGACTACTAAATTCACAATTATCCAGTGCCGATTGATTTGAAGCATGTCCATAGTATAATACTTGAATATACCACATCTTTAAGTGTGGTTTCACATTTCGTAAAATAAAAAATTACTCTACTTTTTACCAAATGGACGTGATAATTCAAACTTCAAAGTTTCCTGTATGGAAAAAATATACGAAAAAAGGCATGTACTTTTCTTCCAATAATATTCCTACTTATATATTTTAAATTAGACATGTTTCCACATTAAATAAGCATATGCTTATGGGGTGAGTTTAATGTTTCACTGCTCTGAATAATGTTCTATTCCCAACGTTGAAATCCAAACTCTGCTACCTCAGCATCCGGACGTAATTAATGAACGATATAAATTAAAGAATTGTTTAAATATTTTAGAAAGAAGGAAATAAGAAACTGCAGACCTGTAAGAAGCTTTCAATGTTCTGCCACAAGAAATTCTGATAACTAGAGATGGTTGGATAGGCTGTTCGTCGAACAACAATGGCCCCATAATAGTTGAAAGCGAAATCGTTTGTTCCAGAACTCACAATGTATACTGCTTTCTTAATCAAATCATCTGTTCTCTCCTTGCCAATCGCTATCGCCACTTTTCTTTTATAGTCTCTGAATAAGTCCAATTGCTGTGATGTAGTGAGTGCACCCTGATTTTAAAATATCGGCATAATAAGAAACATCATATTTATGGAAACCATATATAGATTCATTAACATAGAAAATATTTCTATGTGACAAATTTTTCTATATACGATAATAGAAAGCATTAGGAAAGTAATATATATCTTAGGGAACTAATATATCCATCACAAGATTGCATTTTGTTTGCTAGCTAGGATTCATGCATACAATCTTTTTTCTAGAATAACATGCTTGGTACTTTATTAAATATGGTGAACATGTGTCATTGATAAAATTGACTGATTGTGATGGAGTACAAATAAAGGTAACAATCACGAACGAGAGAGAGAGAGAGAGAGAGAGAGAGAGAGAGAGAGAGAGAGAGAGAGAGAGAGAGAGAGAGAGAGAGAGAGAGAGAGAGAGAGAGAGTTACACTTAGTTGCGATGTGAATGGATCATAACCACCACCAGAAGAGGCAAAGCTAACTCCAGTCATAAGATCGTCAATTGTTAAAGTTGGATCCAAGTAAGGTTGCAAATTCTCCTTAACACCCAGAAATGAAGCTTATACATGCGACCAAATCAACAGAACCATAAAAAAACATTTCATGCAATGCGCAAAACAAAGGTCCACAACTATAATTACATGTGTGCTGAAAAAGCGTGTGTTCGAGGCTCTTGGTGTATAAGTTTTCTACTATAACACACGCAAAAATAAATAAATAAGTTATAAAACATACCAATGAAATCTGTAACAAGACGACCATTACTAAACCTTCCAGTAGGTTTATGATTCACGAAATCCTTCCCGTAAGGTGGGAAGTTTGCTCTAGCAACGGTTGGAAGGTAGTTATTGTTACCCGGGTCAACGGTAGAATCTCCAAACACAAATACAGCAGAGACTCGTTCGCTCTGAGCATTACAAAATTGATATAGTAGGGATACAACATTGATCAAGAAAAATAAAAAGACAATATTAGGGATGTTATATCCTATTTTGGACCTCATGATATTCCCGAAGAGAAATAAAAGAGCCAATATGATCAAGTAATGTAGCCAAAATTTGTTTTATGTTTCTTTAGGAATTAGAAGTTCAAAGTTAGGATCCCTTCCAAGCCAAATTATTCATGTATATATTGTTGTGCATGGGACATGCTCCAACTATTTTAATTTATTGCTAGTATTAAATTTGTTTAAGTTTCAGATTTGGAGGTTGTTTGTTGAGCACATTTAGTGTACCCCATGCTGTTGTGGTTGTGCTGCTTCAAGAAAGGTTACATTTGAAGAAGAAATCATGAAGAAGTGATGGGCGCTAAAGAAAGATCGTCATATTTGTTTTTTTAACCTGTGAATCAGTAGACAATGAACATGAATTGACGTGTCACTTTTAAAATACTATCCAATTTACATTTTAAACACATAGACTATTAGAACACGAATATCAAAATAGAAAATATACATATAAACAACAAAAGTTGAACGTAAATGTAAAACACCGGGGAAGGCGGTCACCCTTTGCCGCGGTTATTAAGACTTCTTGCAAAAATAGTGTTGTTTTGGAATCCCTTTGTATAAATGGGGTTGTTTTAAATTGTTTTGCACAAATGGGTTATTAAGAGGGTTTGAAAAAATGATAGATGTTTTGGAAACCTAGGTTGTTTCAAATTCTTTTGCACAAATAGCGTTGTTGTCCCAATTATATTTCGATTGATTTTTAAAAAGTTATATAAATGGTGTTTATATGTTACAATTCCAGCTTTATTTTATATAATAACTTATAAATATATCCTTTAAACTATTTTTTAAATAACTCTCATGTGATGATATATTTATAAAAATTATTCATTTAATGTTACACATTTAATCATTTATTTTATATAATATGTTGTAAACATATCATTAGTATTTTTAATTTTTATTTTATAACTTTATTTAAATTTTACATATAATATTATTTGTTTTAAATACATTCTTAAGTTGTATATATTATTTTTAATATTTAATATTATTATAATTACGTAATGCAAGAAACACACATAATTTATGTTACATTCTTAATTTTTTCCGTCAGAAAACACCGATTTGTTATGCTTTGTTTTATAAAATGAGAATAATAATTCGATTAAAAATGTAGTTGAATTTGTTCCCAAAACAAAATATGACAAGAATTTATCAAAACATTTTTTTTAAAGAAATGTATTTTTATTATATAACAAAATCTCGGGATATCATATTCAATACAAACCAAAAGCATAAACAAAACAAAATAGACCTTACAACAGTTATTCATAACTATTGGCCTATAATCCAAAATATCTCGTTATCTCAGCCAACTTATGCTCTCATGCCATAACCTGTAATACAAAGAAAACTGAGTGGATCAGGCTTGTAAGCCTGGTGAGCATATAGGGTTTTCATCCCACAATGTTATATATATATATATATATATATATATATATATATATATATATATATATATTGGAACTCACAAATTTATATAATTTCACCATATAAAAGCGACTCTTATCCCACCCCATTGATCCTCACAACAACACGATCTAAACTCTTGTATCTAAAACCTTCTTCTTTACCTGATCCCTACTCACGGATCTAAAACTAATCTCTTCACCTGATCCATACTCCCGGATCTAAAACTAATCTTTTCACCTGATCCATACTCCCGGATCTAAAACTAATCTCCTTATCTGATCCATGCTCCCGGATCAATAACTGTGCCCAATCCATACTCTCGGACTAATAACAAGTTTATCTCTTTACCTGATCAATACTCCAAGATCTAAAACTAACCTCTTGATCTCATTATCCAACTCATCTTTTATCACACACCAACTATCTCATCTACCCATGTTCTATCCAACATATTTGTAGATATAAAATACATATACAGTTTAACTCATTTAAAACTATATAAAACATCCATTCTGTACCCATCTTAAATAAACAACAATATATAAACACATAGCACGTATTTCGTAGCAAATACTTCATATTTATGTGTTAGAAGAAAGTGACTACACACTCACCCAAAACATATACTTAATATTTTCAAACAATACTTGTATTAAAATCGTGTTTATGAAATGACTATACACTCACTTGATAAGACGATAATCAGACAGCATTAAAGCTCTAAAAGCAGTATTCTTCAGTGACACACATCGGGCTTCTCGCAAGCAAAGTTTCGGCTTGGAAACTCTTTTCTTCTCGGGATCTTCGGGCTTCGGGACTCGCTTCGGGTCTCGAGATGATACCGGGGCGTTAGGGGTACTTCTTTGCATGTAAATCGAGGTAATATGAGTGAGAGAAGAGTAAATTAGCAACCTCCGACGGCTGCCCCTTCAATTCTAATTATAGGGTGCAAATTAGGCATTCAGGTCGTGAACTCGGCTTGTTCACGTCGTGACTTTTGATCCTGATCATCCCCTAGGCTTGTCGTGTGTCTTCTAGGCTTGAAACACGCCATTCACTGAGTTCACGTCGTGAACACTGTGTTGACGTCGTGAATGCAGTCAAATTCTCGAAGTTTGTGCTCCAAACTTCAGAAATTCATATATTTCGCATACGAACTCCGTTTTTGACGTTCTTTATATCCACGCGTAGGTGATATTATGCTCTACAACTTTCATTTAGACTCCATCGGCTAATTCTAAGTTTACAACTTTCATTTAGACTCCATGTCGAGCTATTCTGGGGTGCTGACTACCCTTTGGTCGTACCAACCGAACCTCGGGGACTATTTCACCCCCTACTTCTACCATCACGTATATCATAACACAAACATAATATCAGACATTTTTGGGGTGCCTGACTACCCTCCAGTCCTGACAACCGAACTCTACTACTATCACATACAACATATCATGCTAGCATATAACATATCAAGTAGTAGCAAACCTAGATGATATCACAAAGACAATCATCTATCATACCTCTCCTACTGATGGGCCGGCATTGTGGCCTTAGACCCACCGCTACTGGAAGGCAACTCACTTCAGAGTAACTGTTGATCTGTGTGGGAATAGTCTGTCTGCTGCTGCTGCTCCGGAAATCCTCCGGCTGTAATTCCCACCAAACACTTAGTCAAAAACTGCTAACTGTCCTATGGGTAAAATGACCATTTTACCCCTGATCATGCCCTAAGTCAAAGTCAGAGTCAACTTCCAGTTGACCCGAATCGCCGAGTTGGCTCGCCAACTCGCCGAGTCCATGTCAAAACGACTGACCTGGATTCTGTTTCTACTCGTCGAGTTAGGCGTTGACTCGACGAGTTCTCCTTCCAAACTGATCTTCAAGTCCTTCATCCTACTTGCCGAGTTGTATGAACAACTCGGTGAGTTCATCTTCATCCGATGAACACTTATGCTGCGACTCGTCGAGTTGTATGAACAGCTCGCCGAGTCTTATCTTGATCTAAGGAGATTGCCTTGAACTCGCCGAGTCTGGGCATCGACTCGTCGAGTTCCATTATGGGTGAGTTTTGGCTTCCAACTCACCGAGTCCACCCTGGACTCACTACACAACTCGACACAGCAAAAAGGGGACAATCTCGGAGACTCGCGACTAGACTCGCCGAGTCAGATGAGTGACTCGCGGAGTCTGTTTCATGCAAGAGCCATATACGCGATTTTGCTCAAATCTAGTCCATTCCATTCATAGATCTGGGTTTCTAGAGCATGAATAACACATAAAGTTTCCAACTTTACGTGTAGATATTCATCCATGAGGGTTTTAGGGTTCAAAATGCACCAAGAGAGTAGATCTAAGGTCTTCATGCAATATGGGTCCATAAAGGTAGTAGATCTGAGCTCCTAGAGCTCAACCAAGCCTAGATCTAGAGGCCAATCAACTTATTACGAAATATGATGCACATACATGTTGGATAAGGTGTCTAAGTCCATAACTTATTTGGTATATACTTGACCCGACCGGCATGGTCCATTTGGGTTGCATCTCATCCAAACTATTATGGATAATTTTATGAGAGTTATACACATATGTTTATTAATATATTATGAGTTATAATATATTAATATGAAGTTACGTTATTTAATTAGTTTTAGTCTTAAATTAATTATGGATTAATTTAGAGATTAAAAGGAATACTAATTAAATTATGGGCTATTTGTTTTATATAGTGTGGGCTAATACTCATTTGTTAATGGGCTAGGCTTATGTGGAAGTCCATGGATGATCCATGGAGCTTTTAACCCATGGATCCTTGGAAAAGGAAAAGACATGGGTTATTAGGGTTTCACCCTAACCATGCACACTATATAAGCATGCTTATGGAGCATGAAATGGAGCCTAAGAGAAAACTAGTGATCTAGTGTGTGTGTGCATGTGTGTGGCCGAAAATACAAGAGTGTGTATACTCTCTCAAAGTTTTCCAAGAGTTTGTGGTGTTTGTGATTCCATTTGAGGCATTCACACTATTGGTGCTTGGCCCTCAAACTCCATAGAACCAAACTCACCAAAAGGTATGTAATCTCTTCTAACTCTTTTATGTTGAAATGTTCCCCATGCCATGTTAGATAGGTTATAAACCTTGGAAAATTATTATTTTGCATGTATTTAGACAAACATAGATCCAAGGTTTATTAGGGTTGCATGCACACTTAGGAAGTGTTAGATTGCTCAAAACCCAACAGTGGTATCAGAGCCTAGGCTTGCTTGTTTGATACTTGATGCAAAATAGTGAAAAAAGTCGAAATCGTTGCTGTCTGCATGGTGGACTCGCCGAGTCCATTGGGGGGACTCGACGAGTCCAAGGCAAACTTCAACCTACTCGACGAGTCAGTTCATGCACTCGACGAGTAGGATCGAAAGAATGCAGAATCTCGACTTTTGCTGCTGGAAATGGACTAGAAACATTACCCTAAACTGTTTTGGTGTTATAAAACTTATTTTAGTTGGTGTAATGGTTGTTCTAATCCATTTACAATAGCATATATCAAAATTCCATGATTTTATGTGTTCATATAATTCTTGAATTTTTGATGATCATGTTCATGTTCTTATGAATTTAGAAAAGATAGGAATTATTTGCTGAATTGTTTAGAATTAATTCTTGATCATTTATGTGTTTTAATGGAGTCCATAATTTGTCCTCAAGTTATGGATTACCAAAGGTCACTTTCATTTAACACACACTTAAAACACATAAGTTACATGAAAATGAAGAGTCTTCATTTTTATGAACCTTTAATTCATAAGTTATGAAATGAAGAGTTTTGCAAAGTTACAAAACTTGCCCTCAAGTTTTGGAATTTGTAAAG